AACCATAAATGCCAAAAAACCTCTTTACCCTTATCTAAATACTGTTCACCTACATGTTTCACTGTAAACACATGGTCTACACACTCCTTACCTTTATAGTATATATATGTATATGTATATATACCACCTCTGTAGCTGGACTGGGGACCCTCATCCCCAGAGAAGACAATAAACGTTCCTCAGGGAAAACTCAAGGTTCTCCTCGGAGCTGTTTGAATATTTTCTTCTCCTACCACCCCCTATATTTTATATTCTATGTGATCATTTATTAATAAAGAGAATACATTTACAGAAAACATAAAATATGAATACAATGTTACAATGTATTAGAGATCATAAATTTTCTCGCAGCTCATCCGAAGCCGGACGCGAGCCAAGTATGCAGTAAGCATTTCCACTCTGGATGGTCATGCTGAGGCGCTGGAGCATGAAAGTGGCTGCCCTTGGGTCACTGGTGGAGTCGATGATTCTGGAACCCAATTCTTTAAGGAAACGTGTGGCATTTTTCCCCCATGATCCCAAGGTCTTTGATCCCACTGGGACAAATTGATACTGTTGGCTTATGTCCCTGTACTTGCTGATCTTGTACTCCTCCCTGTGGTCAGCAGTTCCTCCCTGTCGCCCGACACTGATGGATATAGGTGTCAGCCAGTGTGGACACACAGTTATAGTCCCATGGTAAAAGCTTGCCCTTCTTCCAAGGACAGATGGTGATCCCGTCGGGGAGGTTTGCTGGGTTATGGGTATTGTTGGCTGCTAGTGATCGGTACTCCCTCTCTGCTGGGCATAAAGCTGTAGCAAGTGTTCTCTTTATGATACATAAATATATGTATATATATATATATATAAATATATATATATATATATATATATATATATATATATATATAATATATACATAATATATATATATATATATATATATATATAATATATATATATATATATATATATATATATATATATATATATATATATTTATATATATAAATATATGTATATATATATATATATATATATATATATATATATATATATATATATATATATATATATATATACATATATATATATATATATATATATATATATATATATATATATATATATATATATATATATATATATATATATAATTATATAAATATATATAATATATATATATATATATATTTATATATATAATTATATAAATATATATATATATATATATATATATATATATATATATATATATATAGATATATATATATGTATATATGACAACACTGCACTAGCCAAAGATTTGAACCCAAGTTGTACTCGCCTACCTCATGGTAAGCGAGAACCACATGACTCTTTAAACCACAGGACCACCCAACCCTACAAAAATTTCGCAGCCAGCACACAACTAGCTGTTGAGCAGCCATCCGAGGGCATATGGAGGTGTGGGAGCTTCTAAGCTAATTTCATTCTCATCCCTGTTTGGTGTACTAGCCTCACGAGCAGCATTTATATATTATTGTAATCACGAACGAGTGGTATTGATCAATAACAACACTGCACTAGCCAAGGATTCGAACCCATGTTGTACTGGCCTGCCTCATGGTAAGCTTACCAAAGACTGCAAGAAAAGAGCTCTTCAGATCATTAATTCTCCAAGCACCAACATCACTCCCAACAAAGTTATAATTCTTCGCAACAGCCAGGTTACACTGAACATTTCTAAAGTACTTTCACAAGCTAACACCAGAGTTGCCATCGCTTCGAGCACTTCAATAAAGGATCTCACCAAGACAAAATCAAAGCACCACGAACCAGTCAATGCAGGGGTTTACACTATACCCTGGGGAGGCTGCGACAAGATTTATGTAGGTGAAACAGCAAGAAACCTCGACACCCACCTCAATGAACACATTTACGCATGTAGGAACGATAACTTGAACAACGCCTGTGTACAACACCGAAATTCCACCAATCATCTTATGAAATTCATGGACGCCCAATTAGTGGTCAAAGAAACTAATTTCCGCAGACGCAAGTGCCTCGAATCAGCACTAATCGCTGTTTCGAATACAATTAAACAAAACAAATGCAGATAAGACACATAGGCAACATTTAGGCAACTTTATTCCGAAACGTTTCGCCTACACAGTAGGCTTCTTCAGTCGAGTACAGAAAGTAGGCGGGAGCAGTAGAGATGTGAAGACGATCTAATCAGTCCATCACCCTTGAAGTCGTAGAATTTGAGGTTGTCAGTCCCTCAGCCTGGAGAAGTTCAGTTCCATAGTCAGGAACTATCTGAAGATCAAGCGACAGTGTTGAGACTTAAATACTGTCTGAAGGAGGTGCAAGAGTTAGTGGGTGAGAATGTAGCCACTGAGAGTCACGCCCACCATCCATCAAACTTGAAAAGTTGTCCAAGGTGATTCTCCTCTCTATACCAGATCCATTGTGTTGACAGTGTCTGAACAGAGTGCCTCGTATCACAATGGTATACAATACCGACAGGTTGGCAGATAAGACACATAGGCAACATTTAGGCAACTTTATTCCGAAACGTTTCGCCTACACAGTAGGCTTCTTCAGTCGAGTACAGAAAATAGGCGGGAGCAGTAGAGATGTGAAGACGATCTAATCAGTCCATCACCTTTGAAGTCGTAGAATTTGAGGTTGTCAGTCTCTCAGCCTGGAGAAGTTCAGTTCCATAGTCAGGAACTATCTGAAGATCAAGCGACAGTGTTGAGACTTAAATACTGTCTGAAGGAGAGGTGCAGAATGTAGCCAATGAGAGGTCATGTCCCACTCACATCAAACTTGAAAAAGTTCTCCAACGTGTTTTCTCTTCAGTACCAAGGTGCCATTGTGTTGCAGTGGCTGACAGAGTGATTATCAAATGGTATACAATACCGACAGGTTGGTAGATAAGACACATAGGCAACATTTAGGCAACTTTATTCCGAAACGTTTCGCCTACACAGTAGGCTTCTTCAGTCGAGTAACAGAAAATATGGAACGAAGCAGTAAGATGCTGAAGACGATCTAATCAGTCCATCACCTTGAAGGAGTAATTTGAGTGTCAGTCTCTCAGCTGGAGAAGTTCATGTTCCATGTCGACTTTCTGACGATAAGAGACATGTTGAGGACTAAAACGTCTGAATAAGTGCCTAAATGTTGCCAATGTGTCTTATCCTACAAACTGGTTCCGTGTATTTCTAGTACCATTTGATGTTCATCTGATCAGATCACTGCAACAATGGCATCTTGGTAATAAACGAATACAACACTTTAGGACAACTTTATTCCAAACGTTTGCCTAAAAGTGCCTGATCATAGTCCTACTCATGGAACTGAACATTCTCAGCTGAGGGACTGACACCTCAAGTCTACGACTTCAAGGGTAATGGACTGATTACATCGTCTTCACATCTCTACTGCTCCATCCTACTTTCTGTACTCGACTGAAGAAGCCTACTGTGTAGGCGAAACGTTTCGGAATAAAGTTGCCTAAATGTTGCCTATGTGTCTTATCTACCAACCTGTCGGTATTGTATACCATTTGATAATCACTCTGTCAGACACTGCAACACAATGGCATCTTGGTATAGAAGAGAAAACACCTTGGACAACTTTTTCAAGTTAGATGTGAGTGGGACATGACCTCTCAGTGGCTACATTCTCACTACTACTACTCTGCACCTCTCCTTCACACAGTATTTAAGTCTCAACACTGTCGCTTGATCTTCAGATAGTTCCTGACTATGGAACTGAACTTCTCCAGGCTGAGGGACTGACAACCTCAAATTCTACGACTTCAAGGGTGATGGACTGATTAGATCGTCTTCACATCTCTACTGCTCCCGCCTACTTTCTGTACTCGACTGAAGAAGCCTACTGTGTAGGCGAAACGTTTCGGAATAAAGTTGCCTAAATGTTGCCTATGTGTCTTATCTACCAACCTGTCGGTATTGCATACCATTTGATAATCACAAAACAAAGGCAGCTTCACCATCTCTGAAGTCTAAGCAAGAATCCTCCTGAAAACAGTTAACCCTGCCATCACATAGTCTCTCCTGTTAATACTACACAAAGCACATTACAGAGAATGAACAATGAAACAGGCCTTCTCTCTCCAGTCTATATTTGTCTAACCTATTTTTATGTTACCCAAGTAATAGCTTTGATATCCTTTTACTCATGTGCCATATTGTATTACTAATACTACTACAACTTATATCACTACTACTACTACTACCACTAGTGTTGAATTAGACACATGTGCAACTCTTGGGTATCTTTATTGAGGAAACGTTTCGCCACACACTGGCTTCATCAGTCCATACAAAGGTGAAACTTGAAGAACAGGAGGAGAACGAGGTAATCAGTCCCTCTGCCTTGAGTCGATGTGGTCAGTCCATCAATCTTGAATAGAATGTGTCTATTTCAACATGTCATTTCTCTGAACCATTCATCTACACTACCACTAGTATTGCACCTCACTCTCAGCCTATATCTACCCTTTGTGTCCATGTATTGTTTGTAACGGCTTGACAAAGCTCCTGGAGAGAGAAACGTTGCCACAATAAAATGTCACATTGTTGCACTTGTGTCCTTTTACTTTACACAATTTAACACTTGATTATACTGACTATTTTTATTATTTATTGACACTAATTGATACTACACTTCAATTTCACAGTCAACACTTTGATATTCTTTGATGCTAGTGATAAAAAATAACGAATCTTCGATTCCTTGATCAAATCTCATCTCTTTATTACCTAGGTGCTCTATGACGTCAAGTGGCTTGGGACTTCTTCATTATTTCAAAGAGTGAAGAAAAACACTTGTTCTTATACGGATATTTATTCATTATGTAATAGGCATGTTAAGGAAGACTAATGTAAATGTTTAAATTTTGTCCACGGTAGTAGTGGCTTCATTGGAAGACGATCGTCGTTTTGAGGTCGTTCTCATAAAGGTGTCGTTGAGGTGTCCATTCGGTGTTTCTCTCCAACCTTCTACCCATGGTAGCCACCACGACCTCTAAAGGGTACCACATGTAAATATTAGCACTGAACACCCAGGTCATCTACATCATTAATTTATTTATTACACTATATCATAAACATTAATGTTATGAGAGTGTGTGACTGATCTTAGTGAATCAGTATAAATCATTAACAACTTATTCTTTTTTTTATGTACAAAATGATGTCTCAGTTTTAAACTGGACTCACTCATGTTTTTAACTTACCCACCAAGGCCTCCGAATTTACCACCAAAGCCACCGCCAAGTCCACCTCCACCAAATCCACCGCCAAGTCCACCGCCAAGTCCACCGCCAAGTCCACCGCCACCAAATCCACCAAGTCCACCACCACCAAACCCACCAAGTCCACCACCACCAAACCCACCAAGTCCACCACCACTAAATCCACCTCCGCCAAATTTACGGCGATATCCTGCAGAGGGATCAGGGTAGGCTATCACCACTCCAACCACAGTCAACACCACTACCAACATCATCTGGAAAGAAAAATAGATTCTAAAATTGTTATTTCAGTCTATGCTGTTGACTATGATAGTACTGAGATTTAGATTTTGCCACCAAAATGATTAGTTTATTGTGCATCCCATATCCATCCTATGGACGGTATTATAAGACCATATAAAATACCAAAAGGCCTAGTGACCAGACCCCAAAATGGTTAACAGATTACATCGGGATTAATATCTACAGTTCACTTAGAAAATTTGCTTAATACATCTGGCATTTCATTTTCCTTAATAAAGATTCCTTGATATGTCACATAATTTTTATTATACTTTCCTATAATTCCTCAATAATAGACAGTTAAAGCATATGGTGTTAAAGATAATGACCATAGTTCTGGCAACGTACTTTGCGTTTGGTTTAATCATCATCTCTGTGTCTTCCAAACTGACAGAAGCACTTGTAACCAAGCCTAAGCCTGGCCACTTCAACATCAGTCAGTCTGTTCACATTGCAAGTTGCTCCATAAACATACTTATCTATGCTCATGTTATCACAGTTGGTTATCGATCTAATAGCATTCATTTCCATTATTTTACCCTCTCCGAATTTTATTCAAAATGCTAAACACCGATTTAGCAAAGTTATATTCTACCTATCAACTTAATCACGAAGGAGTAATCCAGTGTGTGATGGGAACCAGAGCAATTGTACATTAAGGTCTTTTCCTGTTTTTTTTTTTTAAGTACCTATACCTGGCTCCTCCAATCAGCATTTTGGAGTCATTATGGAGTCAGGGCAAACCGCAGAAAGATGAAGAGTCATGCTTAGTGTCATAAATCATTTTTTTGTGTTATTAGGATGGCAAACAATTCAGTTGGCAGTGTAAACGCCCAGTTATTAATTCTTATGGGTAACTCAACAAAGTTGTTATCGTTCTTATCTAAGGAGGTGACAACAAGAGCAGATGCTGCCCTGCCATAACACTCCTGCTTAGATCCATCCAGTATATAACTTTTAATGAATATTACTACCAGCTAGGCGAGAAATTTCTTCTTGAGCAGTTGCTTTTAAAGAGTACTGAGCGGTGTATTTTCTGACTGTTTATTAAAGTCTTCATAGCTATGTCAATTTGCTCTAAAATGTTTTCCATTCTTCAGAATAAAGACAGGAATATATACCTGAGCTCTTAGTCAAGTCTTAACGGTTAAAAATATCCTACCATCTCTTCTGAAAATGAAAGCAAAGTGCCAATAGAAAAAGTAACTGTGATTCATTATATTCTCAATTAAATTGATTCCTACAAAACTTTCTTGTGAAAATACAATTTTATCGAGCAAAATTTTACAGAAATAATACAGCACTAATGTCCTAGAAAATCTTTTAATAATGATTTCCAACATGGAGAGTCTTGCACTTCTTTATATTTTTCTCAAATACAAAAAAATTTTATTCAGTAACACATATCTCCTCAAGGGAGGATCCTTGACACTAACGCTAATTACGGGCTCTTGATTTAGGGGAATTGGAGCTGTGCTCCGGTTCCCTGAAATGAGCCTGAATGACTTCTATCTCCCCCACAAGTACTGTATAATCCCTACGGGTTTAGCACTACCCCATAATAATAATAATAACCAATAACTAATACATACATTAAAAAGACCTGAAAGTGAGTTCTGTACTAATCTGATGCCTAATGAATTTTATCACGTTCGTGATCGGCAGTATATTTAGAACAATGTTCTTCAAAGTGAATCTGCAGGACAGTTCTTGTCGCTGGAGAAGACTCATGTTTCAAGAAATACGATCTACTCTCTCTTGTTTAGATCAAACTTAATAGCCACTCATTCATATGTGTTCTGTGATCTCTACGAGTTTAGTGTTCATCCATAAATTTATGCAAGTGAATTGTTCTCATTAAATACACGGAAGGATAATCACGTTCACCATTATAACCTGTAAGACATAGAAAGCACCACAAGTGCTAATAATATTACCAGAACTGATACCATCAACAACACTAACACTGGCACAACATCACCACCAGCACTGGCACAAACAGATGCACCAGCAGTGGCACCGATGACAGCACCAGACGTGACGCCAACACCAGCACCAACACTGGCACAAGTAGATGCACCAGCAGTGGCACTGACAACAGCAGCAAAAGTTATACCAACAGCAGTACCAGTACTGGCGCCAGCAGATGTTCTAGCAATGGTACAAACAGCAATACCAGTACTGGCAAAAGCAGCAGTACTAGTACCAGCAGCACTGGCAACAACAGCAGCACCAGCAACAACTCACCGTGAATTAATAACTACTTACCAGCCCTCGCAGAGACATCATGGTGCTGTTATTTACTTGTGAGTGAACAAGTGATGCTTGACCATGTCCAGCTTCAGCTTATATATCCACCTCACTCAAAACCACAACGTTGTTCTTGCCAACTGATGCTATTTTACCATCATAAAAGAAATACCGTTGATATGTTTTGTTTAGCTCTTGTATTAAATAAGGAAAGAAAGACCTGTTTTATTGGAGTTAACAACGAATTTTGTTGTTATTTATATTAATATAAACAGCGTTTGCATTGGAAATTGCTAACAGTAGTACAAGATAAGAAGGGAAACACTGGTCATGATTGTAACAGAAGTATGGAGGGGAATTTTTCAATGATTGCTCAACCACCTTAGGAGTTCCCAGCATGAAATTGCTTGAAACCCATTTTTTCTCTTTCATATTCTTCTCTCTGTCTGTCTGTCTCTCTGTCTCTCTGTCTCTGTCTCTCTGTCTCTCTCTCTCTCTCTCTCTCTCATTCTCTCTCTCTCTCTCTCTCTCTCTCTCTCTCTCTCTCTCTCTCTCTCTCTCTCTCTCTCTCTCTCTCTCT